AATTAAACCTTATTTTCAATAAGCAATCCTGAAAAATATTTGGGGGTGCTTAACTTTTTTCCAGGTGTATATGTTCCATATCTGTAAGCAGCATACCCATTTTCAGGTCGTTTTTATCAGATGCTGTGACATTTAATCAAGTAATGGTGAAATACGCTATCCTACCAAAAGTATTGGGACACATCTCTGATAGCAGGAAAATAAGTTTGACGAAGAAATATGCAAATATTTTGGCTTATAAAGGTGATCAGTGGTTCGCTCGGAAGTCATTACGACCTTGTACGCCGAACGATGAGTACACGAAAAGAGGTAATAGAGTTTTAGAGGGGAAGGATAGTTGGATGTCATTTGAAGAAAATGTCAGTACATGCTATTGCGCAACAATTAAACATTCCCAAGTCTTTAATTGGCAACGTGCTGAAGAAATGGAAGCCCAAAGGTGGCAATGAGCCCAAGAAACAACCAGGTAGGCGTAAAATACTGGCCGACGCACCTTGAGAAGGCTGGTTATCTCATCTCGCCGTCAGACCTTAGAGCATATGTGTTTGGAGATGCGAGCAGTCACAGGCAATCCTATAAGTGTTTCCATGACACGTCGAGAGCTGCATGCCATGAATTTTCACGGAAGAGCTGCACTCCACAAGCCGTTGATAACAAAAACAAATGCAAACCATCGATTGACACGCTTTTCCAGTCTGATGGATGTGTTTGTGTATGGAGGATGCCTGGAGAACGCTTATTACTTGAGTGTGTTGTCTCAACAGTGAAGTTTGGAGGTGGCGGTATCACGGTCTGGGGGTGCTTCTCGTGGTATGGACTAGATCCACTGGTCGCAGTGCATGGATCCATGAAGGCTGAATCCTACATTGATGTTCTGAACAATTCTGCGTGTTCTACATTGTGGCAGTTTTATGGTACCGGTCCTTACACCTTCCAACATGATAATGCTCCATGTCACAAAGCAAGGATTGTGAACGCATGGTTTGAAGAGAATAACATCGGAATATTGCAGTGGCCAGATCGAGTTCCGACATCAACCTGATTGAACATCTTTGGGATGAACTGGAACGCAGAATTAGGGTAAGACCAAGACGGTCCTCTTGAGTAGTGGAGCTTACTAATGCTTTAAAGAAGTTTAGCACGATACCACCAGCTTTCTACCAGAAATTAGTAGACAGTCTTCCACGACAAATTGAAGCAGTCATTAAGGACAAAGGATAAAAGACATGTTTTATTCATAATTACCCGTGTCCCATGACTTTTGGAAGGATAGTGTAGGTGAGAAGTATTTTATCTGTATTTATAGTAGAAATGAGTAATTTTAATTGTTTGATAAACTTAGTATGCAAGTATAAAAAAGAATAATACAAGCAGAAATACGATAAATCTGCCCATAATTGGAAGAGAAGTAATTCTGCCTTTGTGAAGTTAGTTTGCTGTTAGTAGATTGTTGTCCAATTGTACTAAGGTGTAAATAATTCTCAAAGCCACATAGCCAACCCTACGTGTTGGTTAAATGCTGACTGTAGTGTTAGTGTCGTGGACAACTAAATCCCCCAAGCCTTGACTTACAATTGTTGTAACAGACTCGCTCACTAGCTAACTGACTAACTAATAGGTGTGTTTATATTATTATAATTTCTTTTTCAAGCTTAGATAATTGAGATGTGTAAATTCTAGACACTGTTAGAAAGAATAAAAAATAAATTTAACTATTAAAAACATAGCTTACAACAATACCAATACATTGTTTGATATTAAACAGAGGATTATTGGATCGAAGAAATAGCGCGTTATATAAATTTACGCATATAATTTACTTGTTTTCAGAATTAATAAATTTACATATTTCACTCTTGAGATTGACCTTAAGAGTTTTGGAAACTTAATAAGCTGTGACAATTATGTTTAGATATGAGTTTATCCAAACACTGTCTGATTTTGTGCAAGTTTGAAAAGTATTCAGTTGAATATATAAACCATTCTTTCTGTGTAATTCTTATAACAATCAGTTAAATACCCTGCTTGTCAATTTTTCTGTCATGTTTTATCTGCCTGTAACTTTAAATTATTGATTGACATTTGAATGATCTTTAGAGTTCATGAATTATTCTTGTAAGCATGATTAGTTTTGTAAGAATCATGAAACAAACTTGATTTAATGCCATATTTTCTTCTAACTCTCTATTATATTAATTTCCAAACTGTTCGTTTAGCATCGGTTTTAATAAAAAAAAAATCTTTATTTCATAAAGCCATTTATCTTTCTTTAGTTATGACTAATAATCCAAAGCTCCCTTATGTTGAAAAACAAATTTTTAGTTAATCACTCACGGTAGTAAGATATACATAATTGTATTTTAGTTTAAATTTATAGTGTTATCATTTTTTAATTACTAGAACTGTATATTGAAACCACTGGTTTAAGACTCTTAGAAAATATTAAATGGTAAAACAAATAAAAGAGCACAAATATTGAAAAGACTGAGTATGCTAATTATACTTTTAATGTAGTAAATGGTGTAAGTCTTACTGTGGCCAATTCCTTATCAGGATTTCATGGGCTGGATAAAGAATGAAGGAGAATAACTTTATGGTCGTTTAGTTTATCAGTTAATGCAACCGTGATCTTTCCAATACTATTGACGAATATTTATCTAAATACTGCCATGTTATCTTTCACGAAATCGTATTTTCAAATAATTTGCCATATTGATATATATATATTCGCTTGAAAACGTTCAATCATATGACTAGCCAAATAAAATATTTCACAAAGTGGTTTTGCTGCATATAATAATAAGCAACTACATAAGTCATATTCCTATATAAGTTTTATCACTTAAAATATGCCCTGAATTACCTGTAACAATCTTTGTAATGACTTGTTGAAGAATATTGTCATGACATTATTGTCTTTACTTTTTATATAATATCTAATCTAGTATAAATTATAACCACGGTGATCCTAACTTACTGAAAGTATAACTACAATTGAAGTAATTGAGTGTAATCCGTTAAAATACTGAACATTCTGTCAAATACACTTAATCATCGACATCACAAGATAGCGATCGTAATTGTCATTTTATATAACTAGTCTGAATAATAAAATAGGATAACATAAAGGACAACGATGGATGAAGAAGAAATAAGTTTAAATTACCCTTTTCTTTTGCTGAAATTGTTCGATTCCCTGCTTAAATTTCCGTAATGCACTGCCGATGATAACTCATTCATAACCTGATACCCTTTGTTAGGAAAATAAAAGTATCTTAAAAACTACTACTACAAGCATTACACACCCATGATGGCTTGAGTGATCTTTCACTACTATGCTAAGATCTTTTCTTTCATTTACGCTGTTGAATGAGTTTCCATCCACATTAAACCATTGGCCCAACTTATAATAACTTTAAATTCATAGGAGATAGAGAAATATTGAAAGTGGAGGAAGCTGAGATGTTCAAAATAAGATGGGTAAGGGGCTACGTTTATGTTTAAAAGTTTTTAATGGGAGTCGTACCTAGCTCCATCTCTTGCAAATATCTGACATTAACATACGTAATAACAGTTTTTGTGTCAATAATTGGGCTTCTACAGTATTCCAAGTAGTAGATACAATTACTTCTTCCACAAATACTCATCACAAAAAGTGGTGTCTCGGTTCATATGTATACATTTTTGGTGATGTCTCAGTTCATGTACACAAATATAGATTTAGTTATGTATACATTTAACTGAATACTCGCATACGTCGTTAACACATAACATCACTTAATCTATTGCACCTTCCATCTATCACTAGGTTACGTGCCCAATCCTTCAGTGCAACTTTAATATAGGGCTATAATATATTTTTGTGCTGCCCAGGAAATATCACGTTGAATTCACTACAATGAAAGGTCATTTGCTAAGTTTGTGATCAACTTACCAGTTGATCCAAGTCATTCTGTAGTACCTCAACATTCTAATTACAGTTGGAAATACCCGATAGTTTAAAGTCATCATACAAATGTACTAATTATGTTCCTTTATATATTGTTAATGTAAATAAGAAAAACGAAAGGCACAAACAGTGTATACGTTAAAAGTGTTATTTTGTAATCTATTATAATAAAGTACAGACAAAAACCAAGTATTATTTCAACAGATGTAAATAGAAGACAGGTGTAAGTATACTTTCGTAGACACTTTGTACAACATATTTAAAGCTTACTTTGGTAGACACTTTGTACAACAACATATTAAAAGCTTATCGAAGTTTTTTGAAGAAGTACCTTTGCCACGAAGATAGTAATTTGACCACAAATGTTTTGCGGGTCTCTGCTTGTAGATCAAATTAATAGTGTGTTTCATAAGAAGAAGCTAATCCCGCAACAAGACTTCCAGTGATATATTATTTTCAGCACTGTATAAAACATTTTATAAAAGTATGTAAAACTATATTTTGCGGAATTTACTATCACATACGATAAACGAATGAATATGTATTGCGCGTAACATCACACAAAATAAACGAACTTGTTGCAGACAACCCAACACGAAGCAGATGTGCATTTGAAATTATTCAGAATATAAACTCCGAAAGATAGACCATAAGTGCTTTCTAAAGTTAGAGCTAACCTGCAATGCTCTAGAGAATTAACTTATGGAGCTGTGTTATGAAAGACTATGTACCATTAGATTTTGGTAATTCTTGAGTGATAGGTTAACAAGATTAGTTTTACTGAGACAGAAACTATTGTTGTGACGCATGCAATATCAAATTATATAACCTAATTATTCAATATACTACCTCAATGCTATTTAACACTGCCTTAATAATGTAAAGAAAAACTCTACAAGTGTTCTTGAGTACAACAAAAGAAGTCCACTTTAACCTGTTAAGTAAGAGAAACCATCTCAAGGTTAGATAAGTTTTAATTGTTATGGATAGATGGTCATGCTACGCATTAATAAAGGCGACGAACGAAACTATACAACATTTTAACATTTTTTGAAGAGTTTTTTTTTCATAAACAAAGACTTTTAATACTTTTTGTGATACTAAAAAGATCACAGAAAGGAAGGTGAAGAGAAAATCATGAATGAATAACAGGATAAATATAAGATCCAAATTGTATAATAGAAAATTCACCATAACAACTGCATAGCCCTTTAACATCTCAACCAGGTAAACTTAGAGTATGGATACTAATTTTGGCATCATAAGCCTAAACGATTAAAATATTAAATGTAATTAAATTTAATATTGATCCATTGGAAGAAAAGATCAAGGGAAACCAAAATCATCATATAAGAAAGTCATTTCAAACTTTTGTGTATATCTTTATTTTTTACTTTATTGAATCAAACTTAGTAATTATATTTTTGACAAATTACCTTACATACAAAATACAGTAGTTTTAGTCACTAACTTGTGATTTAAAAGTAAGCTGCATGTTCTTGTATTCTTATAAAGTTTAGTGGATAGAAATATGTAATTGTGTAGTTTCGAGATGGAAAACCTATCGGTCAACGATTTCATATTATGTTCACATTGTGCACACCAACATATCTATAACTTGTATGTTTCAATGGAAATGTCAATTGCAGATTTATGTGCGCCATTTTATGCGAGTTTCACTTTATATGGTGTTAGATAGATAGTGGCAAAATTAGGTATACCATTTATTCTACATTTTATCACCTTACACGAACAAAATCGTGTTTATTTCTGCATTGTGTTTTAATTTATTGTGTTTTTGCTTTCTGAGAGTCTTCATCATAGTCCACATGGCGATCAGCATTGCTTGGATCCCGATAGTTGAACAAGCTCATGGCAGTCAGCTGTTCCACTACACACAAAGCGTCTCCAGCTACTTGTCTCCACCAGTCTGTGCTATATTTATTCTTGCTCTGTTGTGGGAAAGGATAAACGAAATTGTAATATTATATTTCATTATTGTTTTCACATAATAACTTAAAGTACATTGGTTTATTATGTTCTCGAATACGGTAACAAAATATTTGTAACTATACTGATAAAGAAACGAATATTTAAAATGTTGGATAATTTTTATAAGGGAGAACTCTCAAGCCTATGATTTCAATACTGAAAATAACATAAGATTTAGCTATTGAATTGAAGTTGATATATATAATTATTACCTATAATTTTAGGGAGCTTTCTCTGGATTAATGGCTGGATTTATCTTGGGTATGGCTCGTTTTATCATGGATTTCTTCTTTATTCCACCACCTTGTGGCGATGGCAAGCCAGATTTACGCCCATTCTTTGTCTCAAAGATTCATTATCTACATTTTGCCATCATCTTGTTTGTAGTTTCAGCCGTTACTGCTACTACTGTCAGTCTTTTAACAAAACCTATCGACAAAAAATACGTAAGTAGTATTGATGCTTTTTTTTGTTCTCATCTAGTGTTCATCTGTCTTACATATTCGTCCATGTATATGTAGAACATCTTCTGTAATTATGGACTATGCATTGCATACAGATGAAATGAAAAAATAGTACGAACATTCGGTTATTTGTAAGCACTTCAATGGCTTTACAATATTCAGTATGCATTGTGTGATAAATAAGAACACTGGATGATGCGGCCAGTGATCTAATCAAGGCCAGTACTATGACAATGGCAATGGTTTTAAAATACTTTATTTCCATTGCATGTTGTTGGTGCAATTTCCTCTTGTTATCAATAATTTTATTAACTTTTAGGAAGTAAAAAAGATTAAATGCATCTTATTTTTGGAAACGCAGACAACTAACACAAGGATGAATATACAAAATATTTTAACACTCAAACTTAAATTATTCAAAATTAAATTTGTTTCCCAAATAATATATATTTAATGCACATTTTGAATTTCGTACTAGTATAACATCCTCGCAAGACTCTTGGAGGCCTTGTTGATTTTAGTTGTACCTTTTTTCTAGTTGTATGGTTTGACCTTTGGTACTCGACGCAGCACTCAAGTTCGAGCTGATATCAACTTGTCAATCATTTCATTGTCTCAGTCTGGCTTACAAGGTCCACATATCACTGAAGAAAAGCAAGATACTCCTATAAGCCTGGAAACTACTGAAATGAAATTCTCAAGCCACAAGGAGTTCCAAAGTGGACCAGGAGGAACTTCAAAATCTGGTAAGTTTCATAAAAAAAACAAAACAATATTAATGCAATTTCATAAAAGGGGGAAACACACCACATGACTAACTTACAAATGAAAAACTCTTTTAACACTATATATATATATATATATATATATATATATATATTCTTCTTTTCTGAGTGTAAGCTCATTATATTGTGTGCTAAATTTTTTGGAGGTAAGAATTACTTCACTATAGAAAAACCTTTTTTATCATAGATATTTTAGTTGATGGTGGTTAAATACTACATTTACCATAATATCGTAATTCAGCTTGGTTTGCCATAGATGGGTCGACTTAATAAAGTGCGCAACTTTTTCTGATACTTTTCTTGCCGATGTTTACGTAATAATTTATTCCTTCTTGATTTCATCTGTAATAAAAGTAATGAGCTTTTGGTTTTCAGAACATTTATATAGACAAATATATTTTTATGTTAATTTAAACGTTTACTAAAAATAAATTACAATTCGTAATGTAAAATTTTTAGATATTTCTTTAAATAAGTTTAATTTACAGAAAAATGGTGAAAAATAATGTAAATATATTTTATATTCACAAATGTTACTTAACATAGACATGTATAATGAAAGAATGTTCTACTATCTCGTCAGAAGCTTCACGTATCTTCCAAAAGCGCCAATAATAAACTGTTTCGTGGTATGAGAAGCTGCTCATCAACTTGTATTTGTATTATTTTTATATATTATTAGTTACAAAACCGAATAACAATTAATACCAAAATGGATATTTATATATTTCTTAAATAAATCTGAAACTGTAAGAAATGAGGACGCTATTTTTTTATTAAAAGTTAAGATACCTGTTTGAATAAGTTTTTATAATATTGTATAAGTAATTTGAAGTGCCTTACATGTTTTATTAATGAACTCTGGTATCCTGTAAACTTTTACTAAAAAGTAAAAAGCGCATTATTAATTTAATAATAAGAACAGTTACTTAATTTTTATTTAAAGGATATTTACGTATATGATTTACTTGTAGTGTCTATACAAATATTCTAATGAAAGTAACAATTTGACAGCAATTACATAAAAGAATAGCACAAACAATAATACCTCATTGTGTATGATCCATATTGTATCGTTTTAATAGGTTTACCTTGGTGGAAACGGGTCGTTATATTCATGTGTGGCGTCAATCTAAACCGCGAACCCACTGAAACAAAATCTTGGCATTTATCTCCGCAAGAGCAAATCGTGGAAGCTGAAAAATTCTTATTGGAACGCTGTCTGTGGCAGAAAGTTTGTAATGTTAACGGAATCGTACTATTTTGTGTGGGAGTATTTTTATATACATTCTTTGCTTGATTTTCGACAAGTTAAAATTTAATATTTAGAAAGTATTGTTAGAGTGGTTAACTTCATACATTTGATTCTCAAAGTGATATTTCAAGCTCTAAATTTATCTTTGTTTAGATTAAAAGTGAATTTAATACCAACTATTCATCAAATGTTTTTTGTTTTGTTTTTTGCTATTATTTGTCTTAAAAGACGTTCTCTCAGTTACATTGTAAATAGTTCCTAAAATTTCCGTTTACATTAATCAAAATAGCATTGTAACGATATATTCCTATTAATGTACCTAATAATATAATTCTGATATAGCCGTCAGTAACTCCTGGTCAAAAGTATGCTAACATCATCGATCAGAACTAAAACTAAGGCACTTGTATATTATCGAATCTCATTCTACATAGCTAACTGACTAGAAATGATCAATACCATAAATTTATGCTCAAGAAACAAAAACCTATCGTCGATTTATCGATGTTTTCGGCCGTATGCACAATAACATCCCATGAGTTTTGGCCGATTTAGGATGTATAGATTAGTTTTGAATTAATGAAAAATAAACTTTATAAGTGTAACAACGAGTAATAAATATTACTCGAAATTATTTTAAACACTATAAGCATTGATATTCATGTAATTAGCTTTAAAGGAAAACTGAGTATGCTATTACTCAAAAGTGACACCAATAAACGTTTTTGACTAGTTTTACGTGTTTTGAATGTTTATTACATATATGTAGTCCCCCAATTCAATAGCGTTTAAAGTTTTTTTAAATATATACATATATATAATCATTTTTTATTTTATCCCTTTTTTACTTTTATTTATTTTCTTTTATTTTTAACTTCTTTCTGAACACCCCTGGTGCCCATGAGCCTCGAACTCGAGAAGAGTTCGAGTCTTCGAGAAATTCCTACTATATTCAAAACTCAGCGTTTAAACAGTACAAAAGTGTAAGTTTAGTTACACTCAAATCAAAGAAAAATGGCTTCCCATACGTTATATTAGAGCGTTGGAGTATATGGCGGGATGAAACAGAATACCATTGCTTATCTACATGTGTTTATATCAGTAATTCTAATGCTATTAAGTAGATTAATATAAAACAGTAATGAACTTAGTACAAAACAAAAACATTGGAGCTATGGAGTATATGGCGGGATGACACAGAATACCGATGTTTATCTACATGTGTTTTATCAATAATTATAATGCTATTAAGTAGATTAATATAAAACATAATGAACCTAATACAAAATAAAAACATTATAATGAGACTACAACATCAAAACTTATTCTTCTATTACCATTCCTCGTTGTCATCTATAAGTCATAATAGATAATATCTGTGGTCATGGCACCCATATGCGTGGAGATATTCCATCTAGTAGACTATGTTTAGCGCCGATGTCAAACTAGCTGGCAACTAAGAAGAATCAGTTAAGGTTTAGGAGTTGAGTGCTTGAAACCACAACTCTCAACTCCTACTACCTTTCGTTGTCTGCAGCCAGTTGTGGGAAGGCAGTAATTCTTAATATTTAGATATAACCTTAAAGTAGAATTAAACAACCTTAAAATATTGATGGTTATATTATCAAAATCAATAAAAAATCTCATTATCCCCCGTGTTTCTTATCTAAATGGAAACTATTTTTTTTATTAATTTCATAAAAATTCGATTAAAAACTTACTAGATATAAGATATATATTTCTTTCAATATATTTAAAAATAAGATAAGGGAAATCCAAAAAAAAATTATTATATACCCCTATTGATAAAGCTGTTTATAATTTTGGTTTATATGCACGAATTTTAACTAATGAAATCAATACAACAAATACATTTATAAAACGTAACTTAAAAACGAAATATAAATACAGATTCTGTTTGTTCTAACTTACCACTTTTATATGCAATTTGAATTTGCATAAAACACCTGTTAAATTCGGCTTTATTACAAACACTTAAATTGCTAAATCTGTTGAATTATACTCAATAACATTCTATGTTTTATTTGAAAAAATAGTCACTATTATCAAATGAATAGGACCACTATTTTTGGATCATTAAGAGCAAATTTCGTTTTTGGAGTGATTAACTATTAACTTTAAAACAGCCAACTCTATTATTACTTATGATTTTAATACAATATATACAAAAATAGATCTGAGAGACTAAATCAAGGTTATTAATGATCTACTTGACATATTTGTAGATACAGAAATAATTATCCCAAACTTTAAATTCAGTAAGCATCAGTGTAAAAATATAGTTGTATTATTTTTAATGAACAGGTAGTGTTGTTCCATATATACTGCTAAAAGGAATTATCTCTCAATTAAAATAATTTTTAAAAATTTGTAATTATTTTAGAGATAATGTTTAATTATTGTTAAATAAATGGAAAAGTAATTGTTAAAGACTCTCATTGAAAAAAAAATCCCACTTTTTAAAATAAATACAAGCGGAAATAGCCGTCAATTGACAATTGACGGGGAATGTATAAACATAATTGAAATAATGTAAGTTTCACAGCATCATATATTTAAAAGTAATAACTTGAACATAAACTTTATCTAAAAATTTTAAAAATATAACAAAGCTTATTTATAAACAACATTTGCAGTTTGCTTTACTAGTACCGATAAATAAAGATTTTGAAGTGATCCCACTCTTGAACACTCTAAACCTACATACACATTTTGGTTGAGATTGGCCCAATAGGCTCGGAGGAGTTTGGCTGCAAACAAATACACATTTCGTCTGTGTATCTATATATATATAGATGAAAATATATTAAAAAGTAAACCCTCCATCATCGAAACCATTTTGTGGAGAACCTAGAGGCTAGTTATTTAAGGTCATCCTTGGTTTATAAGTAACTAACTTCAAAATATTTGCGCATTTGTTCAGCATACCAGGATGGAAACCAACTTCAGGTAGCTGGGCTTGTGTGAACTCACCCGGCTTACACTTGAACAAATTCTAAAGGTAAAGGAAGGAGGATGGAGGCTTAAGACATATTAAGATAAGGGGTTTTAGTTCTGTTTAATATCACTTTGTAATTATTAAATAAAATGGTAGAGTTTGGGAGTCTTGTAGAAATATATCCTGGTCTATTTCTACTATAACAATATTTTTTGCCATTTTGTACGACTCGTAGTACGTTGTGGATTTAAGCACTCAACTCTTAACTACTACTCCTAGGTTGGTGGCTAGTTTGACATCAGTAGTTATTGTGGGACTCTGGTAACGGAAGTGACGTCACTTCCAGAGGGTATAAGTTGGGTGGAACAGTTAATTAACCATAACAACCAATTATAGTATAATTATAGATTAAATAAATAACAGATAATTACGCCAGTTATAGTTATTGACAATAATTTCATAAAATTATTGTTTAAATTTCCAATTATTGACAATAATTATAGGTCACATGAATCAGTCATATTTAATTATAGTATGTAATCACAAATTCTCATGACATGATGCCAATTATTGAGAATAATTATTACATAATTTGAGTTTTGCATGAATCAGCTGTATATAGTTATAGTAGGTAATGGCATATTCTCATAATGTGACACCAGTTTTTGACAGAAATTGAAGATAATTATAGTTTAAAAAGAATGTGGGTCATTAAACATAGTTTAACCTTGAAGAAACATCAGTTTTGTATGTGACAACAATAGGGAAACTAACTATAGAGTAAAAACAGGATATGATGTTGTCAACTATAACTTGGAAGATATATAAAAAGACGTCAATAAAAACTTACATTCATTTTGTCTACAACTAGTCCAAGAGAGAATTAACTTCATATATCTTTTACATTATAGAAAACACAATGGTAAGATTAAGCTTTGTTAAAAAAATATTATGTTCTCTTCACTATTATTTCTGTTGTTTTATACATATTCCATTCTTATTGTTAACAAATAACTATATTAATTATGACTAATAAATGTTTCAATTTCATTACTATTTTCTTTAACAGACATCTAGTAAACTTCCCCACTCACACATGATGCAATAACGTGATTCTTCAAGAGAGACGAACCATCTAAATATTCTCACACATATCAACTGGGACATTACTGGTATATTTTGATTGATCCTTTTAATATTGAAGTGAAGATACATATTCGTCAATATAATAAGTATGGAAATGTCACATTATATCCCACCCAAGAAAGTGTAACATTTATTAATGTTGAAGGGTAAGAATTTAAATGCCTGATACCATTAGTGACTAGGGCTATGCATATGAAATCCAGTGATGAAACGTCTATTGTGTTAATAACCCAATATTATGTTAATAATTCTATATTCAGTCTTATAATTTGAAAACAATCTGAATAAGATTGGTTACAGGTTTGTTTTATCGATTCATATTTAAATCAAATAAAACAAACTGATTCAAAAACTACATTTAATTGCATTATTCATAACATTGTTATTAGAAGTTTATACTGAACATATATTCCATGTCATACAAACAACTTGAAAGGGGAATTGTTAGTCTTGCAAAATTGATGATCCCAGACAAGCTGCTTATGTATGCATGATGTTAGATTATGATGAACGTATCTGGTTATATCTAAGGGCTACTCTTACTAAAGTGGATAAAAACAATATGTTAGATGTGTTTCAAGACAAAACTAGTAAACTAAACATACATAACTTTAAAAAATTAACTCCTGTTGAATCTGTAGTGAATTTATTCAAGAGCTATCTGATTTTCTCTATCAAAAAGGATTGAATGCATAAAAATGAGTAATTTTCGGGAGATTCGTTTTGTTTCATCTCGTGATCTATAATTAAGGCTATTAAAGTATTATCATTTAAGAAGATTAATATCTCCTACATAAACCGGTTAATGTAAATCACTTTGACACTATTTTCAATTTGAAAAACATCTATTAATCTTTGTATAATAATGATTTTGATATTTGATCTACATAAAAGGCATATCTAGTAAAGGCATTTTGACATTAAATAGCCTTGTAACAAAGTTATGAACAAACGTATAACAAATATCTTCATGAGTTTAAGATTTAGATAATAACGTTTGTTTGGATATATGTTTATAACTTGGATCCAAGTTGACGAGGTACAGGTGTTTATCTGCACAGTTAGGTAGCTGATCATTATTATTTTATGTACACAAATCTTGTTAGAGTATAGAATAAATCTCTATAGGGTTCAGTACTTATTATATATCAGTAACGATGTTTCTAGTTTGATCAATTTCTAAAATGGGTTGAAATTATGCATAAGCAAGAACGTTTATAGTGTTGAGTAATGCTTTACCAAATTGTGCATCTCAATACATAATTTCCTTGTTTCACCAAGTTAAGGTGTGAATCACCAGCAGATAGATAGGGGTAAGATCAAAGATAAAAAGTGTGAGTAGTTAACCCCTCACTCTGGATACACGCGCTGATTGGCTGCCTCAGGGAGGGGAGGGAAAACCGTCAAAGACGATGATGTCATAGTTTCGAAGTTCCAAAAGTTGCCACCAGAAGGGTGTAGTAGGGTCGCATTGCTAGGCCACCATGACAGGCGGCATAATGGATGATTATATAATAGTACCACAAAGTACAAAAAGTGTTTCTAGGCAGCCATGACAAGTGGCCATGACTCAACATGTCGATGATTAATCATTAATTCGATATTTAATTAATTAAATCATAAT